TATAATCGATGTTCTTTACCATTTGATAAACGAAATTTGATTGGAATTTCAATATCTTGATCAATATTTGTTTGTTGTTGACTAATTATTGGTGGTGGTGGTGTTGTTGTTGTATTTGTTGATGATGAATCGTTACCCGAATCAATATTTGTTGTATTTATTTTCTGTTTTCGACGATGTTTTTTTATTTCACGTACTATTGGATTATGACCAATATGATGTGTTGTTGAAGATTTTGTTGTTGAACGATAACGAGTATTTGTTGTTATTGTTGTTGTTGATGATGATGATGATGAACTTTGATTACCACCATAATCACGTTCACGATCAGTAGCTGCTATTAATGCAAGACCAATATCACTTGTATTTGATTCATTATCACCACGAGAATCAATTGATGATTGTTCACCATCAATCATATTTGTTGGTGATGATAAAACATAAACAGGTAATTGATAACGAGTACCAAGTTCATCATAACAATCAAGAAGTGTTCCATGAGGAAGAGATATACCAGCACAATTAATAACTAATCATAAAAAATGAATTGAATATAAAACAAAAAACAATAAAAATTGATTTAAAAAAAAAAGAAATTCTACTTGATTGTGCAAGATCAATATCATTTTGTTCAATAGCATAACATGCACCACGTAAAGCATCCCAAATTTCTTTTCGACCTTCGAAAGCAGGTGCTAAAAATTCATAATATTATATTAAAATCAAAACACCAAAAATTTATATATATATATAGACATATCAATAGAATGATTACTCAAGAAATTCTATTAAGTAAACACAAGACATTCGTCCTAGAAAAAAAGTCGCTTAATTAGAAATTTGCTACAAATCAATTAACAGATCATTTTAGGGTACGATTAACATGACAACATAAATTATCTGATTGATTTTCTTTTACTTAGCAAATAAAAATGTAATATTGACTTTATAGTGTTCTCATATTTTAGCTACATTATTAGACATTTGTTTTTAACAAGAACATATCTATTGAATGTTTATTCTATGCATTTTTGATAAAGAAAAAAGTCTAATTATAGTAATTTTTTATATATATTTAGTATCATTGTATTTAGTAAATCTAAAATAAATCATAATTAAAAATACGAAAACTATGATTTGTAAAAGTTTATTTCATCAAAGATAAAAATTCACCTGTATCCCAATATTCTTCACGTTTACGACGTAATTGAGTTTCTGTAATTGGAACATCTGATTTCCATTTTGGACGGCAAGCTGAACGATTTAATGGTTTATTTCGACCAACAGTTCCACTAGCTAAATTCAAACAAAAAAAAAACCAACATAATAAAAATAACACAATAAATCAATAAATTACTTGTTGCATTATTACGAGATGAACGTGATCGTCCTCGACGACGGTTGCGATTACTGCGGTTATGACTTACACATCCCCCCATTAGTATAAATTTGAGAAAAAGCGAATAAATCGATGTATCTTATTGTTCAAAATTCCACTTAGATATTGATCTTATTTTTTACATACAAGCAAACATTTACAAAGAGTAAACAAATACTATTATACTCAAATGATTAACGATAGAATATTAGAATACATCTAAATATAAAGAAAAAGCAATTGATTAACATATTGTTTTGCGGAGTCGTATTATGAAACGGTCAGTACGTTTTTTTTTCTTTATTTGCCGTATGTTTTTATTTTTCTGTTATGATGAAACAAAACAGTAAGAATGACGTTGTCGAGTAAAAAGAAAACGAAATCGTCTTTCTCACTCAATAATCTATACACTCAAACTACCATATGACAGCTACCATATTAATCGACAGAATTGCCTCAATAATCAATGCAAACAATACTTCGATAGATGTCAGTGATAATCACAAATGCTTTTAATTAGATTAACACGTTTATAGTGAGATGTGGTCATTCGCCGTAAATTCCAGTGGCAGAGTCTGGATTTTAGGCTACGGAGTTCAACCTTGCTGATGAAAAATATACAACTTTCAACAGTCTCTTCAGATGGGTTCAAAGGTTCGTAGGGGGAGGCGGTCTGAGCTCGTCTAGCTTCACTTCTAGTATATGCATTAATATCAACAATATTTTTTTAATGTTCTATTGCAAATATTTTTAAAGCAATAATTCAAGAAAGAAATTATCATTCGAATAATGTTTGATAATTAGATGTTTATTCAAAGGGGAATCCAGTGAAAATCCCAGAAATACTCGAATTAGATGTCTGAAGAACGCGGAAATTATAGCTTATGCTCATCCATAACCAATATCACTCTATTGATTTAATATTTTGAAACCGATTTCTTTAAGAGAACTATATAGAGGTATGGAAAATAAGGATGTGCATGTGAATTTTTCGTGGGAATGGAAAGAAGCTGCAGATCCACACTCTCATCAATATCATTAACTGAACATTCTAGGCTATAGAAGTGACTACTTTCTAGCGAAATATTGTGAGCCAAAATGTGACATCTGGTACAATTATTTATACATTTCAAATAGGTGAGAAATCTCAAACGCTTTGCACCTTGGCGCTCATATTGATTCAGAAAAGAGGGAATCAAACTACAATCTTAAATTCCATATAAAATATATAGTTACAATTGAACCAAAGGACGAGCTTCGAAGACAAATTTGTGGTCTTTTCATTTTATCCAATACTTAGTAAGTAGTAGTTCCGTGATCAATACTATTCTTCCTACACTGTTGAACAATGATCTACCCGTTAATATTAATACGAAAAGAACACATAGGTAAATAATCTATCGACTGTTTATCACATGATAGCAACGATATGCTAATCAATTAGCTTATATTAGAGCACTATCCAGCTCATTCAATAAACTAGACATGATTAATGAGGAAACGTAACAGACTAGCTCTAATCGATGTTACTTTGGTTTTTGTTGTCCTTCCATGAACAAAGGAAAATGAAACAGAAGAGCTTTTTTTGTCACTATTATTGATGCATATCTTATGAGAAAATTTGTCTAGACGCAGTGATAACTAGGCTAATTTTTGGCTGTGGAAGAATAAATATCACTCGATCTTCACAATTCAAAGAAAGCTTGAAGATGCCAACTGAATCTTCAAGAAAAAGGCAGACAGCTAGAAAACAAACAGAATAGAAGTACAGAAGTCGATGAAGATCTCGAATATTCGAGCAAACTTCAGGCAATTCAGCACATGTGAAATCTGTTTTATTTCCCATTCAAACCCAATGAGCTGAATATTTTCATTAAAGTTTCTCAAAATGTCACAAAGGACGAGAACAAGACTGCTTCAAAACAATCAGCTTCAAAATTATCTCATGAACTTCTTCCTTATGATAATTTTAAAAAGACTATTTGTCAAGTTTATAATCTAGCCTATTATCTTCTTTCCAGATTTGATATTAATTTTGGTAGAAAGAAAAAAAGAGAATCTATGATAAAACATAGTAGATTATTTTTACGAGTCTAGTGTGAGCAAAAAAATCCGTATTGTCTAATCTGACGAAAATCATAACAACTCATTGCATCAAGAGTCAAACTAGTACTTCAAATCTAATTTTACTTTTTCTCTGGAAATTAGAGAAATATAGCTAGTCCTAAGACAAAACTCATAATTGTCTTATTTATCAGCTAACTATAAATCTCAATTTCATGTAATACGAGTGTCTCCAAGCCGATTTCTCTTCCACTATCAAACTCATTTTTCTCTTTTGTCAAAACGGATACCAAAAATAATATAGTCATAGAAAGGGAACCTTTTGTCTTTTAGTAGACAGGAAGGCTGTGCTGCTACCTGATTGATTCAAGCATGTTCAACTGTCAGATTACTGAATGAATAAAAGGTTACACATAAGATGCTATAAATTCATTTGATTCGAGATATTTCTTGTATTACTCATTAATTTATCTTAATCCTTACTGCTATTTGTTATTCTACCTCGAATATTTTTCGATAAAAACAAGAAAGTAAACTATCGTGTTGTCAAAATGAACTTGATACCCGTCTAATTAGGTTAATTATATAGAATTTTCAAAATAAAATAATTTTCAAAATTTTCTTTCTCAATAGTTGAATGCAGCTTTTCTAATCATGTGATAAAGCAGTCAAGTCTTGACACTGAGTTCTATGAGATTTTCAGGACTAGAGTGAGGATCATAGAGGTTAAATGTGAATTTTGTGAATGCCATTTGTGATTATAAAAATTCCGAGTCCATGGGAATCCTGAAATCTGAGGAATCTAGAATTCACCGTTTCTTTCTTGGTATTGACTCTTGTCTTAAAAACAGATTCACAATTATATTTCAATTTGGTTCACATTTACCAGTATCAGTATCTCTCCTTGATCAAATTGCTGATTAAATATAATACTTATCTAATTTATAATAAAAAGTCGAAACTAGGATATAATTTTTACATCAAAACAATTTTATCCACAAAATATTATATAGTATAATTAATTTTTGTTGTTTGTTATAAATATCTACTAATAGACTTATAAGAAACATGGATATTCGTATTTCGAATTCGTTGAAGTAATAATACTTGACTTCAGTGATTGCTATTGTAACAAAAAAAAACATAGAGAGTAGAGTTTTAAAAATTTCCCACTCTTAAAATCATTATTCGAGAGTGGTTTTTTTGTCTAACTTTTTTTCAATATGTTCTGCAGCATTATTCTCCCATGTGAAAAATCGTCAGAATTAAAAATTACTATTTGTTCTAGTCTTGTGACTTAAAAATGTTATCATACTGTTACTGGCCGTGAAGTTTAATAAATCGAAGCACAATGATTTCTTTCGTTCTTTGAATAAATCCGTTGCTTTTAAATGTATTTAGAAAAACTAACCCACGTCATGCTGATTACAAAATAGAATGATTTGCATTATTTTATTCTTATTCTTAAAATCATCTGGTTATTTTTCTCAGTCCATAATAAAAGATAATTATCAGTAAAAAACAAAGGACAAATTCGTTGGTATTCAATAAACTACATATGCTCGATAACAATAGATTTTCTTTGATTTTCATTATATTAATCGTCCATCATGTATCTGCAATTGGTCGAGATGGTTTAAAACTTATTTTCGAAGATAAATTTGATTCATCTTTAACATTAAATGGATCAATCTGGAATTATAATTATCCATGGGGATCAACATATAATCATCGAGCAAATATGATTCGTCGTCAAGTTGCAATTACTGACTTAGGTCAAGTTAAATTAATAGCAATTCCTATTCGATCAACAAATATAACTCTTGATACAGTTGATTATGGTATAATTGATGTTGATTACACATCCGGTGCAATTCATACAAATAGTTTAACAACATTAAAACGTGGTTTAACTGTAGTTAATATGCGTGTACCATCAGTGGCAAGTACATGGCCAATGATTATGCTTGTACCATTCGATGAAACATTACCTATGTTAACTATGGATGTATTTAATGATCGACGAAATATTGGTTATACATTTCGTTATACATCACAAACAGGTTCAAGTGAATCTGTTAGTGGTACAACACGTTCATCAGTAGATAATAGTCTTGATTATCATTCTTATGCTATTGATTGGGGTTATGATAAAATATCATTTTTATTTGATAATATTTTACTACGTTCATATATTAAATCAAACGAAATCTCACAAATATCTGATATGAGTCTTGTTATAGCACTTGGTGTTGGTGGTCGATCACAATCAACACCAATTAATTCAAGTGATTATCCAGCTACTTTATTTATTAATAATGTACAAATGTGGGAACCTAAATTTGATGGTCGATTTAAAATAATCAATTATAATTCAAAACTTGTTTTAGAAGTTGAAAATGGTTTTACATCAGATTTTGCTCGTGTTATACAAACTAGTGATAAAGGTACACTTTGGCAACAATGGGATATTTATTATGTTGGCTATAATACATATAAAATTGTTAATGTTAATAGTCGAAAAGTTCTTGATGATTATGATTGGCAAACAAATGATGGAGCAAAAATTGTTCAATATAAATTTGAAGCAAAAGATAATCAAATATGGAAAATTATTGAAAATGAAGATGCTGATAATACAATTACATTAGTTAATGTTTGGGCACAAAAAGCAGCTTCATTTGTTGGTGCTTCAACACAAATAGGTTCACAACTTGTTCTTAATGAAATGAATGATGGACCAGATCAGAAATGGACATTAATTCGATTGTAATAGCATTAATTTTCTCATATTAAAATTTTCTAAAATAAAATTAAAATTCTGGTTATCATCATGCTAGTTTTTGCTTGTAAAGAGATGTCGTAATAATTTGATTTAAAAAAACAAAGAAGAAATTTCAATCGAGTCTTTCCTCCGACAGCGAACAATCATTATCATAATAAAGACGTTGCGCCTTTTCTTATTCTGAAGCACATTTTTCCTTCTATATTGTGTCATATTCAACGGTATTGTAAACAAATCACAAATGATTCGAAATCATCTTATTAAAAACAGTTTGTGTTTATTATGCCATAACTAAATATTTTTATTGAACTTGAATAGATATTGAAAATTCATCATCATTTTGGTCAGATAATGAAAATATTGATGAATTTGATGAGCGTGAACAATATCCATATTATGATTTCGATGGAATCAAAACTCGAATCATTTGGGTAACAAATTATATAAATAATGAAGATTGTATGTATTATAATATTGCATTGATCTATTATTAAGAATTGAAAAGAATTTTTAAAAAAAAATAGTTTCAATCAATGTACCAGCTGATGATCCACTTCAATTTATGAGTACTTTTTCTAATACCATTGACATTGAAACTTTACTTTCAAACAAGAAAGATAATAACTCACTAGTCAATAAAATCCATACGCTTGATTTATCAAAACTAAATTTAGATGATTTATTATTACTTTTATATCGACTACAACAAAAAACAACGCAAAATTCTGCTACAACGTCACCATCTACTATTAGTTCTTCATCTACTTCATCATCATCATCATCAGGTTTTATAGGTTTGTAGTAATCTATTCAGGTGTATGAAAGTGTAGTCAGTTCTGATCGGGTTTTACTAACTTTAGCCATAATTGGATAGAGTCTCACTACAAGATTCTTTCTTTAAAGTTCTTATCATTTTCCCAAGTAAACGACATCTTTCCGTCAGATACCTGCCAAAATCGTTGTCCTTGCTGAATCCAATTTATTATTTTATAATTTTTATTTATATATATCGAATGAATCTTAGCAAATAGTCGGTTAATGTTTCTAAGCTAATTCGAAAGTGAATTTATTTCTCTATAAGATAATCTATTTTATTTTTCAACAGTATTTCCCTTGTTAGTATAAAATTGAAAAGACTATCATGTACTTGATCGTTCATCTGTAGTAGTCAAAAAAAAAAGAGAAAAACTAATGGAAATTTTTAACAAATATTTGGCGGGAAGTTAAAAGTATGCTACAATATTCCACAAAAAATTCTGCATCTTTTGCAACACTTTACATTTGATTTTTTTCTTTTTTATTTTAAAGCAGCTAAAATACTTTGACTACTCTAGTGATAATTTACACTATTTTATTCATATTTTAATTTTGCATTCGACCGTATAAAACTCAAAATCTTCACAGGATTAATATGACTTTCAAGAACATTACTTTCGATAATGAATCGAGACATAACAACTGACTTTTTTTCTGGTCTTTTGATTAAGGCTTATCTGAATCAGCAAATATCTTTAGAAACCACTTTAGACTCAAAGAAAATAGATAGTCGTATGCATACGATTGAGTAGATGTCAGAGCTCTGAATAGGTTGGGTTTTTTCAGTTCAGTCTCGCCTATTGAAACGTCTAACAGGCATGGCTCTTTTTAATTTTTTACTAATTATGAATTTATTATGGATTATCCTAATATTTAAGAACGTAAGCCATCATTTAAAACATCATCACAAATGTCAGCTCGTCATCCATTCAATTCAAGACATTCTCATGCTGTCCACTCATCTTTTTCAATGCTTAATGAAATACCATCGAATTCAATTACAAACAATCGTTCACAAACTTCTTTTACTTTATCAAATATAGCCGATGTACCTAAACAATTGACTACAACATTAGCTAAACCAATATCATCATTTCATTCTCATAATACAAAAAATATTCATTCACCAAATGATGTTGTTGACAAACTTCTTCAATCTTTTAATCTTCGAAATCATAATAATGAAATAAATTATAATAAAAAAGTAACTATAAAATTGATTCTGTCTTTTTATTGATTTATTTATTTTTCTTTTATTGAGTTTATTCAACATAAACTACAACGATGTTCATCACGTTATACTTATCAGCAATCTCAACAACATAAAGCAAAACTTATCTCAAATCTTCTTTCTTCGAATTCAATTCGAAAATTTCCTTGTCATCTTCATCAAAACAATTCTTATCATTAAAAATATAAATAAAAGACAAATCCATTTTTCAATTCATGTTTTATTAAATAAATATGTATATATCGTATAAATTCATCGTTTTCCTCTTTTTTTTTCTGTTTTCCTCCTCTTACAAAAGAATACTTTCATCAAAACACACACTGACAATGTAATATAATCTTGATAAAAATGCTATAATAAAAACTATAGGGAAAAACAAAACATGAGGGTAGATTGCCCTGAAATAAAATAAAAAAAAAACGAGATTTTTTCTACATATTAGGACTCGTACTCAACAAAGTCGAGGAAGAATCATACGAAAACAAGAAAAAATCGGGAAGGAGAGAACATTTTAATGTTCTCTCAGAAAATACATATAAGTATAACAAAAGAAGAAGAAATACAAAACAAAAGAGATTCATCAAAAACCAAAAAATAATAACAATAATAATTATATATATATGTATATATCTTTAATCCTCTTGAATAAAATGTAAAATATAAAGTATATACACACATTTCTCATTTAGCAAAGCTAAAATAAAATAAAAAAAAGGAAAATCAATTATCTATAGCACGAAAATTTTTACTACAAAATATTCGCTCATTAAATTGTTTCGTACTTTGCATTTGATAGATTTCAATAAAAATAGTACTCTGTACAATCACCGTTTTTTAACTTTTTGATGATAATTGTTCAATCTGATCTCAAAAGAAAATGTCGATCACATATTCAAAAAAAAAGCCTAATTCTAATAAACTACTTCTGACTATAATCAGTTATCTTAATGAGCGAATATTTTATGCTAAGACTTTCGCGATATATGTTAATTAAAAATTTCATTTAGAATATTTTCTTACGAATTATTGTTGTTAAAATGAAGAGAATAACTTGGTCGAATATGCACTAAACAGAAAAAAAAACAAATTTAGTTTTAGAACAGACAAAAAAAAAAGAATTTCGAATAAAAAAAAAATTCTTTACTTCGAAATTCATCTGTTAATGATATTGTTTTTGTTTGTCGATGACCACGTGTTAAAACAACAATACGTATTGCATTAAACAAACGATCGATCGTTGGATAACCATATTCAGCTGGATTAGGACAATTCGGATTACCATGACGTAATTGATAATCAATAAGAAAATCTTCATAATTCATTTTATCTAAACCACATGCACGCATTCCTTTAACTACTTCATATGCAAATCGCATTGGTGGTGTAAGACGAACATTTTGACCAATTAACTTAAATAAATATCAATCGATTATGAAATAATGAAATGAATATATATATCGAATTATGAAAAATATCAAATGAAATTTTAAGATATTTTACAATTTAACCAATCGAAAATAATTAATGAAAAGATTTACTAATGCAGCTCTTTTGCAGCAGAAATTGAGGACTCATATGTGTTCTTGATCCTTATTCTACTAATACAAAATATGTGGAGTCAGCTCAGAAGCATTGGCATTGATTATTTCCTTAAAGTTATAATTTGATCAATTACTAGCAATTATCGTTGACATCTTGAATACAAATTTTGTATCTGTATTAGTTAGAGCAGTCACAAACATATTTCAACCATTCGAATTTCGAGAAAGGTTTTGAAATGTTCTAGAAAAAACTAAGTCTTGTTGTTAATATCATTCGGTGTCTTTTTCCTCGTTGCTAATGAGTTTTGAGGAAAGAGTCTGGTGGCGGTTATATTTGACTACTACGGAAACGCATCCAATAACTTTTGACTTCGGCTACTATGAGGGAAGAACTGTAAGACTTAAACTTATGTTCACTATATTTTTCTTCGAAAAACGTAATGTGAGTTTTACTAACATATAATGATATTTCGACCAGAGGTAGATAAGTCTAAAGGTTTGAATAACTTCAGTGAGGAAGTTGTGGTTTTTTTTATGATGTTCGTTTCGATAAAGCTCTTCTTACGAGCTAATAAACGTCTCGTGGAAAAAATCATATTCCTATCGTTTTACTTATAAGATTTTCTCTATTATCAACAATGTCGCTTAGGTTTTCTTATTCTGACAATTGTCTCTGCATATATATAGATCTTCACTAGATTAATCATTGGTCTAGGTCAGGCTTGCCGATTAGGGGGGGGATGGGGGGGGATTTCCCCCCGCTAAATTCGGATCCTTTCTGCCAATTTTTTTCCGCTGTATTTCTACGTTTTTCTGCTGAAAAATATCTTTTCTCCCTTTCGTATAACCTACGTATAAACAAAATTTAAGAAGATGAATTTCTCAAAATTTCCTCTCCTCAATGCACGCATACTTATTGATTAGTGGTAGCAATGCGAACAGTTTAGTCATATTATCCCTCTTTCTGGCAAAAATAGATAGATAGCATCAAGAATATATTTTCTGCAAAATTCCCGCAGAAAATCAACTTGAGAGTACTTTTCTTTGGCAGAAAGCTCATATGTACTCTTTGCCTAAAATTTTTGGTGAATTTCGGTCTGCTTTACTGCTCATTGTCGGGTTGTGATTCTAGCTGTGTCCAATATACGACGTGTAAAAGTGAATTGAACTTATTTTATTCAAAATAATTTATATTTCAACGAACCCATTCGTCATCGGCACAGTGAACAATAAATATGTTATATATAAAGTGCTGGCAATGCGAATTTCAAGCAAAATTTTTTTTTTCACCTTTCTTTTACGTCATTTGATAGTGTGAGCTGCTGATAACGAAAAACTACTTTTTAGCGCCAGAAAATGCTTCTTCCGGATCGAAAAATACCAAAAAACACATCGTTTTCAAAATGTGCAAACTTTTCTGCTTCCTGCTTTTTTCCAGCTTGTAAAGATATTTTTTCAAATTCAGCATAAAAAACTGAGTACAGACAAGTTGTTAGATCGAGTCCAATCTAAAGAATTTTTTGATGATGGTGTTTCGAATCACACCGAGTGCAATAGGTATAGGCCGATTTTGTAAGCCTATCTAGTTTTTTTACGTAAGAGATGAAGTCAAATATTTTATCGCATTTGACTCATCATACCACCAGTCACAAAAGAACGCATCGCGTTTTTTTTCTTTTCTTTTCTTTGTTGAGAACTGTTTTTCTGAATTTTGGACTAAATAGATAGAATTTGACTCGTATTTCTCCATTTTCTTCATAAAAACTAAGCTTTCGTGCAATAACCTTATCATATTCGGAAGCACCGCAAAAAGCTGAATCGATTAATGTATGTTTCGAAAAATTTCGTCACCTTTAATTTTTTGATGAAAATTTCAGCCAGGTCTTCTCCGAAAACTAAAAAACTGAAGTCAATGGAAAAGGTTAAATCATATATCAATGGATTCAGTTTTTCGTACTGATTCCGAATATGATAAGATTATTGCACGAAAACTTAGTTTTTATGAAGAAAATGGAGAAATACGAGTCAAAGTCCATCTATTTAGCCCAAAATTCAGAAAAACAGACTTTTCTCAACGAAGAAAAGAAAAAAAAACGCGATGCGTTCTTTTGTGACTGGTGGTATGATGAGTTAAATGAGATAAAACATCTGACTTCATCTCTTACTTAAAAATCTAGATAGGCTTACAAAATCGACCAATGCGTATTGCACTAGGTACGATTCGAAGCGCCATCATCAAAAATTTTTTTTGAGATCGGGGTCGGTCTAATAACTTGTCTGCACTCAGTTTTTGATGCTGAATCTGAAAAATATATCTTTAGAAGCTGGAAACAAGAATATAGCAGAAAATTTTGCATACCTTGAAATAGTTTTTTTTCGAAAAAAACGACGTCCTTCAAGTTTTTCGTGATCAGCGGCCCACACTCTATCAAATGATATAAAAAAAGGCAAAAAAAAATTACTTGAAGTTTGAACTGCTCGCACCTTAAAATGTCTTCATTTTTTGAAAGTTTAAAAATATTTGGAAGTGTCTTTGCTTTTTGACGAACATGATCTTGTTTGTTACTCTGAAAAGATTTCTCGATGAACTAAAAATTGTAAAAAAATTGACTTTCTGCCAAATTTTTATCCCCCCCCACTCCTAAAAACAATCGACAACCCTGGTCTAGGTAAGTGTTTTTTTTTCAAAGACACATCAGCAACTTCTGTATGTCTAAGAACAAGAGATTTTTCTAACAAAAAATGTTTTCATACTTCAACATAATGTTTAAGTCGATTTTGACAATCTTCAATTTTTAATTCACGTCTATATCGATTAGCCATTTCTTGCTTAAGCAACCAAATTGTTGTTTCACCTTGTGCTTCCATAAGAATATGTACAACATTTCGAGCAAATACAACTTCAGAATGATGTTCTTCCATAACACGAATAACTACTGTATTCTTATTTGTTTGTACACACTATATAAAACAAAAGAAAAAGCAATATTTAAATAAATATTTTCAAAAAAAAAAAAACAAAATAAGAAGAAATTATTTTAAAATAATTAACTAACAGTTAATTTATTTTGCATTGATTCAAGCATTGATTCAATAGAATCAAAACCCATTTCTTCATAATTAAGTTCAAAACGAAACATTTCCGAATAAAATTTCATTAATTGATCAAATACTATTGAACCATCATGTTGTCGTATAAGTTGAATTATATTTAATAAAACAGCTTGATGAATAGCATCATTAGTTAATTGTATAATACGTTCACCATTTTTATCTTCAATTATTTGAACAATATGTGGAATTTCTTCAAATAAATCAATTAAACGTAAACATCCATATAATTGTACACGACATTGATAACCAAAATGATGATGATACATTGGAATAAAACGTTGAAATGGTATATTAAAATCTTGTTGATGACGAAACATATTTATAATATCATCAGCAAATATTTGTGTGGCAAATTTTTCAACATTGGTTTGTTCTATGAAATTTAAACAATTAGATTTAAATTTACAAGAAAGAAAAAAGAAAATCAATATACCTTTTCGATAAAGTTTTATTATTCCAAATTCTTGATCGATAACAACTTCTTTGTTATCTTTAAGTTCCCCAATAAGATCATCAAGAAAGCAAACACCAAAATCAATAATATCAAATGGTTTTTTACTAAAATTACCTAAATAAAAAAAATAAACAAATAGGTTTTATTAAATTCACTTTTTTATCAATAAGTTTATATCATTACTATTTTCAATTAAACATTGAAAACAAACATATTATCTATACGTATCAAACTCGCTATTTGCATTTATATCATGGCATATAATTGAAGAGAATTCGAACTCTTGATTTTCTGTTCAGATAAATAGTTTGTATAAAAATTTCGAAAACCTTGATAGAACGGGGAGGGGAGGAGTAGGCTTTTATTAACTAAACTTCGTTGTAAGTATCGCAAATTAATTTTATTCTTTCTTCTGGAGGACTCTCGCTAATTGGAACTTCGGTTTTTCATAAATTTTTCAAAATAATCTCATACTCGTTTTTACTTCTCAGATCATGTTCTGAACAGATTTAAAAGTTTTCAGTTTAAACACTACACAAATAAAGTTCTCGATTGAACTAGTTCATTGTGAATGTGTCAGACTTTCTAATATCTGGTCTCCTGACATATAGGTATGGGTTAGGCCCAGTGCTACTCTACCATCAAAAGAAAGAAAAACGCAATTAATATTATCTTCAATGAGAATCTATTACATGGATTTTCTTCAACATGGTGGGGCATCACCATTTCATTTATACACAGATTGAATTGAAAACTCTCAAGTCTATTTAGGAAATGATTGGCGAAGATAGGGAATTATTTTGAAAAACGTACTAAAATGTCTATAATCCAACAAGAAACATCTACAGGAGGGTTTTTCTCTAATCTCAATAAAGCCTACCGAATTAGGTAAGACTTATCTTCAGCGCGATCCATTACTTTACGAAATCCGTTTATTAGAATATTTAGTTTACTAGAATTCTGTAAATTATGTCATTAAAAGTCAACTTAAATTTATTGACTTAACAATTTATAGTTCGAAATAAATAAGATATTTTTAGTCCATTTCAATTTATAAGGAACATCTTCGATAATTTTAATTTTTACTTACTAAACTCGTTTGGAATTTCACTAATAGCCATTGATCTTTGTGGTTTATTCTTTAAAATTCTTACAAGATCATTAAAAAATCGTTTAACTTGACATCGATGTGTAAGTGTTAATATACGTTTATTACCATCACCAAGTACCTAGAAATAAATCTTATATTGAATTAATTTTGTTTTTTTTTTTCTTTAAATCTTTTACTTGAACAGCATTTGGAATAGCAAGTAATAAATCAAGAATTTTATCAAAACCATAATCAGCTGCTCGACAATGTCGACTATATTTCATATGATAAGTTGTTACAAATTTTGATAATGGTAAACGACAATGTTTTGTTTGTTGTTTAAGTAAATCAATTACTTCACGAGCAAATGTTTGTAATGAACAAGTTGATGATGAAGATGATGATGACGATGATGATGTTGAACGTTTATCTAATGCCACTAAAAAAAATTTAAAATAATGTCTTCTTTCAATCAAACTCTATTTTGTTGTGTGTTTTACTATGATTAAGTGGAACAGAAAATGAAGGTGTAATTGTTGTTTGTATACGTTTAATAACACCTTGATCAGTAACAATTTCCACATTTTTAACACATGTTATATAATGTTCAAGTGGTATGCCATATTCATCATCAATTAAACGTGGAAAATAATGTGAATAACATTGAACAAAACTAAATATTTTAGAAAGAGATGCTTTTAAAAAAGTATTTTGAAAAAAAAAATACAGAATATTAACCTGCCCAATGGCATAGAACCAACATGTTGAGAAAGTAAAAAATGAACATTTTCAGAAAATATTTGTAATGATAAACGAACAAATGGTAAATCCAATGTTGAACTAACAACAAAATTCATTGGACAATGTATTGTACAATATGGACGTTCAAGTCGAACCTATTAACAAAATAAAAATTAATAATACATATTATAAAATACAAGTTAGAAAACCTACAGGAAGTGTATCACTTTCAATTGTTGCTCGAAATGCTGGTGCAAGTCGTGCAAAACCCATATGACCATTATATTGAATTTCAATTATATCACGTGCTGTATTCAATTCAGACATATGTAATGGTTTACAAAATCTAAATTCAACATATATAAAGTAAAAAAATTCCTATAATAGATTAACTATCATATTTAACTATGAAATTATTTTATATAGTTTTAGTAATGGTTTTTAAATTAATTTTATATCTTCTACATGTCAGATTTTACTGAAGTGATAGATCTTGACCATTAAATGTTTTGAATCGAGACTATGCACATTATATAAATTCATATGAGCTATATATATCTTGAAAAGAGTTCGCGTCTTTAGTTTACTGCTACCGAGATACAGCATTTTTACAGAGTTTTTAAATGAATGTCATGGTAATAGAAAAACTAATATTCCAATTTTGACTTGAAAGTTTTCATAGAGACAGGCCTTAACAAGAATAGTTTATTGCGTAAGTTTCAGATCTTATGGTTGTTTCTATCATAAGTTACAACTAAGTAATAGACCATGTTTTACATCACTCATATTAAATGGTAAATTTGATGTTCTTATTTTAGGATAGAAAGAGATCAAAAGATTTGGAACTACTTTTGTTAAAAAAAAACGACCGTAAAAGTGCATTATTTTTTCAGCAATAAGCTAAAAGCACGAATTCTTTTCAAAGGACTCATAGCTCATATAAATGTAGATCATGCATATAGTCTTGACTTAAAAAACAATTAATCAGTTGGAAAATTTCTCTCAAATGTGACATTTAATTGATAGATTGTTTTATTGACTTACCGACTTTGATATTCTTGAACAAGTGTTAACATAGGACACATATAACCAGGATGTTCTTGAAGAAGAGCAGCTACTTCAAGAGCAGTTCTAAAAATATCTAATTTATGTAGACAAGTAATAAGAAAAGCTATTGTTCTAATTACTGAGAAGCACCAGGTACTATTTGTTCTGATTCATGAATATTTGTTGATGATTTTGTTCGTTTTTGTGATGGTAATGAAGACTCATATGGTGATGGTGATATAGCTCGAGAATTTTTTTCTTGTGATCGAATTGGTAATTTTGATCGTGTTGTTGATGATGTTTTTATGACTATAAAAATAGTATAAAAATTACAAAAAAATTCTTTTTTTTTTTATTCAAATCTACTTACAAGCAGGTGTTTGTTGTTGTGGTGGTGATAATAAATTGCTTAAATTTCTTTCATCAATTATTGAATCAATGCTAATTTCTTGTTGTTGTTGATGATGATCATCGACAAATGATAATGGTGTTTCAGGTAATATTGGTAAGTATGTAGATTTCGGTTGCCATATAGAATCTAATGTTGTAGTATTTTCAATTGATGATGATGAATTAAATTCAGCTGTTGGTGCAACAAGTGGTAACCAACTAACTTGACGTTCAAATCTTGACATAGCTGTTTTAAAATCGAAATTCGGTTCGAGAAAATCAAAAAATCGTAATTGATCAACATGCGAACAAAGGCTATCTTGTCGCCTAAAAAGACATAACAAGATTATTTTCAATGAAAATTTTCAACAACAAAAAAAGAATACTTACACAATGCTCGGCATCTTTAATAAATAGTTTTATAAATTAAAAACAAAACGAAACGAAAAGAAAAGTCGATCGATATAATGTATTACAATAAAACAGAGGATTCGTATATACTATAAAGAGGAGGAAAGATCGTGGTAAAAGCTCGTTTTTTTTCTTTGTAAATGTGACATGATTTTCACAATCTATATACATAGACTATTCTCTTTTTCTCTCTCTATTTTTCTCCGTTTTTCTTGTCACTGTGTCAGATAGTAGAGGACCTCGATTTTATTTTCTCGTTTTAACTACTAACCAATAGTTATAAAATTATGAGCGTGGTTATTGTACCTCGATGCGGGTATGATATATGAATTTGAACTTTTCACAAGTAACAAGTACACTAAGGTCAAGAATACACAACCTTATCCAACTATTTATTTCTTTTTATATTATAATAGATAATCAATAGTAGTAGAACTTTTTTGTGAAAAATTCATGCTAGAGTCAAATTTTTATCATGATATTCTTTTTTTAATATCCTCAGAGACATTATTAATTGGGATAAATATTTAGACATGTAAGAATTGCAAATAGATTTGGTTTATTCTTCAATAAAAAAATTTATCGCATTATTGCGATATGAACAGGTTTTATGTTTTAATAATTTTGTATCTTTTCGCAAAGATACTCTATCAATAATTGGAATAATTGTATTCAAACAAATACTACACTCTGCAATATGTTCAAAAATATCCTGACCATTCTAGCTTGAGAAAGAGATGACAATTTTCTACTGACTTCGTATGCAGATTTAAAATAACAATATAGTTTAACTAATATTATTGCATAAACGACGCGCATTTCAAAAACAAAGCGAAAGATTTACACTGAGATATAACGATGGAAAGAGTTAACAAGCAAATGGGGAATATTTTCAGCTAATGAAGATTAGAAGACGACAGCCATTTCTGTTTTGATTAGAGTTAGTATTATGTTATAGGCTGTTTATGTTGCAACTAATTATTTTCGACTGGAAAAGAAGCTTATAAAATAGTAAAGACATGATTTTACCTGCCCGACTTTTACTAGAGAGAATTGTTTCCATATGAAATTCTAAAAATTTTCTGGGTAATTTTAAGATCAAAAGCACTGACACCAACGAACTTTTGATCAAAATCATGTTTTCCAGAATCAACATTGAAATTTATAAATATTGATTATGGAAGCAAAAACTTTGTTGTCGTTAAGAGATTTTTACCTATTGAAAGCGATCAAGCAAAAAAAGTCAACAAATCTCTACTCTAGGTAGGAATAATAATAATTTCGTATTATTAGAGAGAGAGCGCCTTCTCTGTCTCTCGCGATTGATCCAGTCCTGAAAATATGAATCGTATAGCTCGATTTCAGTGAAAACACTGTTTCCTTTTCTTTTATTAACACTAATTCCAATCAATTTTTTATTACCATTCAAGTGTTGTATTGAAATCGGCATTTTTTCAATCAACAATTTGTACTTGTAAAAAAAACATGTCGATTAACTATATGAAAAGCAAAGCATGTATTGAGTTATTTGCATCATCAATGAACTGTTGCTTAATAATCATTTAAACTTAAAAAAAAACAGAAAAAAAGAGCCGTTTAAATATCAAGTTTAAAACACTGTGGACAAAAAAAATAATAAAGAAAAAATACCTATAATAAAGATAACAAACGACAAAATCATCGATTGATGTTACCTGTTGAAATAAATATCTTGAAATTATTACTATACTAAATGTATTTATTCTCATACATAGATCGAACATATTTTCTATTTTCTCAGACAATGAAGAACAAAAACAGGGAGAATTACAACTTATTTATACGTTTAGTTCTAGAAATCGCATGGACACACAAAGCGTCCAGTCCCCTTCAGAGAAGTCGAAAGACTATGAGAAATTAAATATATTTTTAAAGAATTTTGCTTTCTTTATATTCCGTCGATCTGGAAGAAAAAAAGGTGGAAGTATCGTTTCCCTTGATACATGTTTGTATATGATAGTCTACAAAAAAAACATTAAATGAGTACTATGTCCAAATCATAGACTACTATTGAAGATCTGTAAAATGGCACTACGAAGTTTTCTAAAAATAACGATGAAAATATAACTTGTATGTACGAATGTGAGGGTTATGGATGTGGTAAATAAAGAATCATACCCATACTCAACATTTGACAAATAATACAGTCCAAACCAATGAACAGACACAAAATTGAACATATCTTGTATAAATCCAAACCCATGCGACGAAAATTAAGAGTAGCATTTTGAGCCCTAACTCCGTCCCATCCTAATTATTCTAGTTTCGGTTGATGTTCGCCGTTACAGCTTTTCTTTGAACTGTATCTGCACGTAGAAAATAGTCGAAATCAACTCAAGTTTTATTTGTTTTGATACTTGCGACAAATAATGTAATAACCACGTAATAAACCGTGGTTGATAGCATGAAGCTTGTGTTGATTGTGATAGAAATTTTCTGATAAATATATTTAAGTTTTGAGTTCTCTAAGTTTTTAAAAAAGATTGAGAGTAATATTTACACGTTTGAAATCAGTCGCTCATGAAAGACTGAGCATTTGTAATCTCAGACAAATCTATTGTATAAATTTTTCCATTGATCAAAGTTGAACTTAGTGATAAATTCAAATTGTGATATGTTGTTCGAAAAGTAACGTCTATGATTGGGATTCTAGAAACTATCAATCTCAGAGGACTATTCCTGTTAAAGAATTCAATTAAAGAAGAATCCGAATTACTTGTCGGTGATAAGCAAAATCAAACATCCAAATATTGGGTCTTATCATTGTTATCTTTCTTTTGTTCTTGCATTTCTCGAAGGCTCACAATATTCAATAGAATCAACCATGTGTTAGTCATTGCTGCAAGATTACTATTAGAGACGACTCGTTGCAACAAATTTTAAATGTGCAAGCTCACAATACATTTTATTCCAACATTCCCCTACCACATACAAGTGCTGCCAACTTCAATCTGTCCTACTTCTCTTTCATGTAATCTCAATACGATTTAATTCAAAAATACGCAATGATTACAATTCAAACATTGATCTTATGCCAATGATTTCGTGGTCTTTGATATCCACAATTTCCATTTACACAACACTCACTTGGTCCAGGCCATATAATTAGATTAGCGATACAAAACAAAACAGCTTTATTACATCGAGCACATGGATCGAACAATGCTACACCTGGTATCCCTAAATAGATATCGAGCGAAATATATAGTGAAGAGAAGCGTGGTCAAGTGTGCTTACACGACCAACCCCAGCTGTTTGCACGACATCTATGTTTCTTAAAACATGCATCATGCCGATCGCAACATTTGCCTTTCGGACCACAGCTAGGAATTAACACATCACACCCGTAGTTATCTTTTTTTTGAATCAGCATTCTGATTAAATCGTCTTGATTAGTGTACATCGAAGAACCAATGGCACACGTGTAAAAAATTGTACAAGTAATGAAGACAATTATGGTCGACAACTGCATTTTGTACCACTAATAAAATGATATTGTGGACATTCGATACCAGACTTAATGAAACCGTTTCTTACTGCCTCTTGCTATTGTCATGTGATGCTAAATCCTTATGTATATATGGTGCCAACACGCATTGACTGACTTGAGGAGTGTGGGTGTGAGTGTAGTTCTTCTGTTTATCACTCCATACTCGCATTCAAACCTACATCTAAAATGTTTAACTGTCGATGAAGTTATGCGATTTCTTGTATTTTATTGAATAGATTAGCAGAAAAAAAGATTTTTTTTGCTACTCATCACTGTTTCGGTCTTTTCAGGAAAAACCAACTCATCATTTATTTCACTTGATTGGTTATTATACTGAAAGCTCTTTTTTCTTTTATGCTTTGACAATCTGGGAATAAGTAACAAGTATGAATCATTCTTGTAGATTAAAAAAAGTATACGTATGAGAATAGTAAAGCTTCAGAAATAATCATTATTCGAGCATTATATACAAAATGCAAAGTTTATTCAATGGCTATCATACATAAATATCACTTTGAACTCTCTAAGAACGGCAGTCTAATGAAAAATTTTGAGAACGCCAAGACATGAATATTGAAAACTAGTGCAGAAGTTATCAAAGCTTCAACAAACTGTGAAACTTGTTTACCAAAGATTTTGAAAATGCACGTAACATTTAATGTTCTACGATCTAAATATTTACTATGCAGCTTTTGTTTTCTATGATAACTATGACTGAATTGAAGTGAATACTTTTCTTATAAAAGAATATTCGAACTTCAAGAAAAGCAATATATTAGGAACGTCCGTTGTTATAATGATCGTAATCATCCATAAAGAACACTCCGTCAAAAATCGCTTCCTTCCTAATCCGTAGTTGTCCGACTTACGTCGACCATCTTCCTCTTCGCCAATGTCGAGCTTTAAAAATTCTTGTTTTTAAGAAAATCCTCAAAAAAGCAAAACATTCTGCTAACATTCCTATGCGTTTAACTTTTTCCTCATCTCTATTAGAATTGATCTGATTTTGGCTAATCCTCTGTCCTTCCCACTTCTTCAGACGACATTTATACATAAGCCCAAATTAATTTTGTACAATACCAAACGTATTCATTTCATGAATGCAATGGGTTCGTTTGTTGATTATTTGCTTTACTAATCATTTATTTTTTTATTCTAGTCCCTAGTCGCACCGGTGACAAAATGAGTAGCAGTAAAGAAGAGAGTAAAATTGATTTGCTCGATTCCCCAACTGAGGTTAACAAGAAACTAAGAGTGACATTTTGCGAACCAGGTAATGAGAAAAACAATGGCATACTTGTCTTCTGCAAAAGTGTCATTTTTCCATGGCTGAAAGACAACGATAAGATTAATATTAACAATAACCTTGATGACTATACTGTTGATCATCATAGATTCTCTACATCCTCGAGTTTCTAAACATGGCGGTCCAATATCATGCAATGAGTATAATTCATTGTAAACATCTTTTAAGAAAAAAGTATGATATGAATCGGAACGATTTGAAAAATGTTGTTGAAGTCTATATCAATCGAATACTTGATCCAATTCAAAGAGAATTCGAATTGAAAGAGATGCTAAAATTGAACTTAAATGCCTATTCTTCATCCAATAAAGCGTCTCATAGGTTGTTATTATATCAATTTTCATCGTATAATCGAGTTGTTTAATATCTTAGAATGTTCAAGCAGCTAGGAATGATTTAAAAAAATGTTCTACAGAAAATAAAAATGATTAATCCTATAGTATACAATTAGGCAAGGATGATATTATCTTCAAATATTATCATTTTGGAATGAAACGAATAAATAAGAATAGAACTCAGGTATGGATTTTTATACACCTAAACTGTGCAGTGCTTCAATCAACATTAGTGGAGGTTCAATAGTAAAAGCTTGTCTCTCTCTCTTCTTGATTCTGCTTTGCGAACATCTTCCCTTAATTGACCAAAACAAAATGTTCACAATCAAGCTATAGTCAATAATTTTGTACGTTCGATGTCACATTCATTTGCACAATTAACAAACACAATTCGACATATGCTACCTTAAAAACATTTAAATTTTTATTCAAATAGATTTTAATAAAACCTTCAATTGGTTTGTTCCATGCTCGATAATATCGAACTCGTTCTTCACCTACACCTTTCCGATGATTTTCATTTTTTCATGTAGCAATTATCATCGTAAAGACATTTATCATACAGTATACATCAACAATTTCGTACGAGAAAACTCTTCACCTCCACTTTGACTCATTTCATAGAGTATATTGAGATAGCAATAAGTCTGAAAGTGGAAGGACCTATGAATGAAAACTTATGTTCGTTTTACTGAGTTTTTAATCTATTGCCAGGAATTTTAAAAAATCAAACAAAAGAATTTTAACCAAAGATAGATCTAATAAGCTCATCAAACGTATTTTTTTTTCTTGTGATACTGAATTGTCACCAAAAAGGTCATAAAGATCAAGTTTATTTGATAATTTAACATCACATGAAAGAAACATTTACTTTTGCTGAAATTGTCAGAACACTTTAATCGTCAATAGACTCATCTATGAACAAAGTTTCAAGTCGATATTCTTTTGCTCGATTTTTTTGCCATCTCTGGTAATAGATAGAAAAATTCACTAAAACGAGCATAATTCTTCACTAATAGGCCATGAACCCGTAACCTGATAGATTTTTTCTTACTTTGGTATATTTTATCGAATCAGTTAGAGTGAAGCTGAACGGACCGGATGCTTCCTTTGTTAGTTTAAGAAAAAATACTGTGCACCCTTTCTCTTTTAAACACGCTGTATCTGCATGATGAATCTAAAAGAATAATCGAATACCCAATTGCACTAGTCACTAATATCGTAAAAGTATTTTGAATAAAAGAAAAAAGTGATCATCACTCCAAGTTCATCATGCAACAGTCTCATCTCCAAGTGATCCAGTTCTCGTTACTATTACAGACATTGTGGTGATCATTATTTTGATTACCATCATCACAATATGATGCCCATATCGATCATATTCATCACCTACGTACAATATTGTTTGATGGAAAAGATTCATCTTCTAAATATTCTTGTTTTCTCAATAATTAATTTTATCACATTTATTGCAAAATTTATGAATACAGAAAAACGACCTACATTTGAGTGACACATGAACTAATAAAATACAACCTTTTTTGTGTTCCTCAATGTATTATATTATAGCATCATGTAAGTCTTATCAAAGTTAAAGTACCTCAAATATAAAATAAAGAAAAAAAAAAAGAAATCTTTTATCCGCAATCCTCAAAGTTTATTTATTTCAGTGAAATAAACAATTCTAGAGAAACATATGAATGTCAACTCTTTCTGTAGTGCGTACAATTAAATAATTGTCTTTAAATACTGCCATTCGTTGTACAGGATGTTTATAATTTAATTGTATTTTCTTCCATTCAGAATCTATTGCTATTATATTAGAGTTTATTGATGAAAATGCAAGCCATTTTATATCCGATTGAGTATTTCTTATAGATATCATTCTATAATCATGCATAAGATTCGATCCCGGAAGTAAAATTGCTTTATTACATATTAATGTTTCTATATGACAAATTTCTATTCGCCATTGTTCAGTGAGAATATTATAAATAATAATTGCAAGATTTAAACAATCATTTTCTATGATTGTTAATATACTTCCAATAAATTCATTTGAAGTTAATTTTAATGGTTGTCTTTCAATAAGTTTCCAAAGACCATCTTCATTATTTTGTTGCCATCTATCAATATATTCTGCACCCCATTCATTATATGCAATTAGTAATGTAGATTGATTTAATAATGTAAAACATTTAAATGTTTTATTTTCCATTGGTATTATATCATTTAATGTTTGAATTTTTTTTGTATTCGGATCAAATGAAAAAATATTTGTTGATGTAAGAAGAAGAAATTGTTGTTGATTATCATACCATAATGCATCAAGTACAGTTGTTTTTATTGAAGAACGTATAATAAATTTTTGAAGATGATCATCAACAAGTATAAGTTGGTTTCTTTTTTTTGTAAATTCATTAACAAGAATATACTTTGGTGATGTAGCCAAAATTGGTTCGAATGACACAAGTGGAATTTTAATCGGAGTGATCGAACTAGAATTATCATTAATGGACATTGCTTGAGATGATGTTGTTGATAATTTTGTAAGTTCATCAACAATTACTGTTCTATCCATCGTATTACTTGTCTGTATTATATTTGATTCAGGTAAAAACCCAGTTAGTATCATTTTGTTATAGAAACAATACCTATAATATATATACGAAGGCCTTTTTTTCTTCACTTATCACGAACGATTGAAAATGAAGAATTGACACATGTAATGGAGAGACGTATTTAAAGGTAACCGAGAAAAATGTAGTGGGTAAAAAAAAAGACTAGTTAGATTACTCAAGAAACAGAACAAACAAAAAATCTTACGAAATTTTGTATTGATGAGACTCACACAAAAAATGACTGACTGTTTGTGACGGTATTCGCTTTTTTTTTACTCAGTGAACACGTTAACAGAAAAAAAAATTTATAGCCCACTTCTCATCATTTTTTCTTCTAGTAAAAGGTAACTCATTATTTATTTTGGCTGACTGCTTATTATACTCGAAGTTTTTTCTTATGCTCCGATAAGAAAAAGAAAATGTATGTGAATCATTGTTTTACCTGAGTAGAGGTGACAAGTATGAGTCATTCTTATTGATACAAGAGTGCATATATATGTGTATGAGTAACAAGTTTTAGAGAATAATAAATGTACCTAGTTTAATACCTGCAATGAGAATTTTATGCAATGAATGTCATGCATCAAACATTACGTGTTCTTCGAGAATGACCTAATAAAAAATTTTAAAATTATCAAGACAAACAGAAATCTCCAACTAATACTAAAGTTGTTATTGATTCAGCATGTTTTAAAGCTTGTTGATCAATGATATTAATAACACAAGTAACATATAATGTTTTCTAGTGTAAATTTCTGCTATGTAACTGTGTTTTTTTTCGACCACTATACATGAACTGAAGTACAGTCTTTTTAAGATTCAAAAGCAGTTATACATCATAAATGTACTTTGTTTTAAAACATTTTTACTCTTATGAATATCTAGCTTTAAAAATTCTGTTTTTCCGAATACGCTTTATAAATGATTCCAAGGTAGGTTTTTTTAAGTTTCTTGAAACTCTATCAGCAATATTTCTTAGAAGAAACATCATTATTTGACTGAATAATCTATAAAATAAAAAAAAAAAGAAAGGTTTCAATGCAACTGGCTGCACAGTATAAAATGAAGCTTTTGCTTTTGTTAGCAAAATCTTGTTTTGAAAAAACAAACCAATAATTGTTATAAATTGTTTATCTGGTTTTTTTTCTTATTTATGTATCTTTCTTTATTGAAAATGTTCTATAAAAGCATAAAAATAACAAAGTAAATTATTAGTCAAGTTCAAATTTTATTTCTTCAATGAAAAGATAAATTCGTCAAGCTAAGTAGATATTTTCTTTTTATTTTTCTTGGTGTCTTTTTTCTCCTTTTTCTAGAAAACGTGATAAAAATCAACGAATCTATGAATATCTATCAATCAAATGCAAAACGATACGAGTCCTGCATAATTTCATAAAATAATTCTTTCTTTTCTGCAATGTTTGTTCTAGACTTCTCTTTTTGTCTTTCCAAGGACACTATCAATAATAATGCCTGAAGAAGAAGGATAACAACTATTTAGAATATATAAAGGTCCTATACGTTAGTACATGCGATAAGGAATGGGCACATCGGAGATAAATTAAGACTGTATATATAACCCCTACTGGATAAAAGAAGTATATCAGAACGTAGAGAAAGTTATAAAGAAGAACTAATAACATTATGCAAACAAAAACTCTTCTTGCTTTATTTTTTACTATCGTTGTACTTCTAATCGAAGCCAATGATGGTGCACCAGCAGCTCCAAAGCCAGTAGCAGCTAAAGAAGACTCAAATAAGCCTGTCATGTAAAAATTAATAAAAAAAGTATGTTTAAAAAATTTTTGTATTTATTTAAGTAAACCAACGCTTCCTGGTGGTCGTTCAGCATGGCAAACAAATATTGATGCACACAGTAAAAAATTATTCAATGATGTAAGTTTATTTGATATCATTCATCTCGAATCTTCTTTTGCCTTACGTTTTAGCATAAATCAATAATATCAAAAAAACTTCAAAGTGTTCATAAAGTACCAGCAAAATTTCAACTTAAACCATCGAAAGTAGCAACACAATCTGCTGGTGGCATCCTCTATCATTATTTAGTTAAAGTACCAAAAAATAAATATGCATACGTAACAATTCATGCTCCTCCAGCAAGCAAAAGCAATCAACTTCCAAAAGAAGAAAATGTTAATGTAAAACCAGGACTTTATGGATTAAAGGATAAAAATATTTAATTATGTTGCTGAGAATATTAATACATATAAACAATCATATTTTTAACAGTTTAGCATGTAGCAAAAATCGACCCACATAATTTTCTTTTTTTTATATATATTCTATGTAGACGTTTGTTCCTCGTTAGATGCAAGTGTTTAGTTGTATATCCTAATAAATGAAAAAAAAAGGTACGTATTTTTTTTGTGAAGTATCGATACAGTGGAACCAATGAGGAGATAATGAAATTGTATGATGATGTAGACTTTATATGTAAAGTATGACTCAAAAATATCATATGGCAGTGTAGAGTAGATTTATGGATTCTAAAAGATCTAATTATAAAGTTCTATTTTTAATTAATAATTTAGGATGCAAAAGGACTTTGAATAGTCGATGTGTTATCTGCAATTTAGAAATATAATCAAATTTAGATATATTTTTTCTTAATTCTTGGTTTTTTTATTTGATAGTAATTTTTAGTCATATCTGAAAATGTAACCGAATTAGTTACTTCAGAAATCAATGAATACTAAAGTGAATTGCCCTGAAAAATAGTAATTTTGTTTTGTTTATTGAAGCATTCACTTTTCAATATTAAAAGTCTATACATCGTTGAGCATGCAAAACCAGAATTGTTAACTATTTTAGGAAAGAATTTTTTAAATTAAAGTATTACATTTAATGTAAACTTCGGTATGTCACATAATTCATGCGAACACACAAAAAACAACCTTCATAATATTTTTTCATGGAAGTAAAGGCTTACAATACGACACAGGCACGAAAGATGATCAAAATTCAAATATCATAAAATATATTTTGTGTTTACTTTTATTATGAAACGAAAGTTTAATAGTCATTCACTATGATCAACAAAGGCTGTTGCACATAGTAAAAAATTATTTAGTCATAAAAATATGATATTAAAAATTAAAGACAAATTTCAAGTCCGTGATAATATATCAGCTATATTCATTCTTAAAAGAAATAAAGTTGCAATAGAAATTATGAATAATCTTCTTTATCACTAACTTGTTTGAGTGCCTATTAAAAGAACTTATATACTATGCTTAACAAGGTTATAATTTTTGAAGAATGAAAATTTGAATGTCGACAAGAAGAATATAGTAACAAACTCCTACAACTCTATTTATTAAATAAAAAGTAAAAAAAACATTGAATATTCATAATTAATTTCTGAAAATTTGAACCACTTGATTTTAATGTTAATTAATTAGAAATAATTTTAAAAGTGTTCTTCTTTCATATTTATTGTATTCATTTTTTTATGATGATGAACAAAAAAATTTTCGCATTTGTTCACATGAGGCATTGACACAGCCTGGACAACGAAGAGGTAATTGATTTGTATAACAACGTTGACTTTGTATATGTTCATGAACAATATCAGCCATAGCCTAAAAACATTTTGAATACAATAAAGAAAATTAATATTGAAAATAATATGAAAAAATACTTTGATAAAAAGTGGACTATCGTTTAACGATGCACAGCGACGAATCATTTTAATTCCAACCTAAATGTTAATAATACATGAAATACATGAATGATATTAATTTCAACTTACACTTGTAGCAAGATGTTGAGCATATTCTATATCAAGTTCATGTAAAGTTTCAATATGATCACCTAAATGAAAAGAAACAAATTTAATGTATTTCTATTTTAAATTTCGAATTAAAATTATAGATTAGTTTTATAATTTGGTTAATACTTTAATTATAATATATATTATCTCTACTTACTTGTAAATGCTATTGGAACTAAAAGAATATGTCGACGATTATTATTAGCTAATCCTTTGATAGCATCATCTGTTGCACAACCAAGCCAAGCACTCGGTCCAACCTACGAATTGAAATATTCTGTATTAGAAAGTCATTGAGCATTTGATATACTTTTGATTGCCAAACAAGTCGATATGGATTTGAAAAATTAAGAGATTCCATAACTGCTTGAACAGTTGCAGCAACTTCTGCTGGATAAGGATCGCCACGATTGACTACCTAAACATTTAATCGAAGAATTTGTTAAAAATTCACGTGATGACTTAAAAATTGTTGCTTTCATTTCTTACATATGTGTTCAACTGATTTTCTTCGATAATCCATATAGAAGTGACACTTACAATGTTTAGTTAGTGCCTCTTTACATCAAAATGTCTTGGAACACAGCTTTATAGGGGTCAAACACACTACAGAAGTGACTTAACTTAATTTTATTTTAAGTCAAAACGCGTTCACACCAAGCAGTTAAATCACCAATCAGAACAGCGAGCAAGTCTCTTTTATGTAAGTGTAGTGCATAATAAAAAAATTGTTATGCAATAAGAGATGGCTCTATCATGCATACCGTTTTTTATTGACACATTCTACATTATATTTTCATTGTTTTTAAATTCTATTTTATGTACAAATATGACTGCAATTTTGTAAAACAGACGATATTTTTGTTTGAGGTCGATTAAAATCATGGAAACCATTACTTATGTATATGTCGATGATAAATGTGTGAAAAAAGACGGTGCCATATGTTTTTTTTATTGGTGAAACGACATCCACACCCCATTGGCGCATTAACGTTAAGTCATGTTAAAAAGATGACTTAATTCTGTCTTAACTTAATTTACAATTTGATTGGTTAGGTCAGTCTTAATTCGCGTAGTGTGTTCGACCCCTTCGACCCCTTATTTCTGTTTTATCGTTTCTAATCGTCTCATTGGTTAATTCAGTTTTATCTTGTTCGGTCTGTTCGGGGCCATAGAGATAAAAACCCATATCTCGATATCATGAAATGCAAAAGGCAATTTGAGAATTTCATTGCTCAGAAAAGACATTCATTTTTTTCATTTTTATTAAAAATACGTATCGTAGCTGCCTAGTCTTTGTTCTCACATGATGAAAAAAACCCAGTGTTAGGAAAAATTATTTTCGCTCTAAAAGCCTATGAGAGAGAGAAAGGAAGTGAGCATTGTTTTAGAAATTTATTCAATTCTTACTTAAAATGGTTTTCTTCTCTGTGTTGTGATGGTTGTCAATTGCAGTTTTTTTTTCTTTTTCTCTTATTCTTGCATAAAAATAAAAGACAACTTATTTCAGTGCGTTTATCGTTGCAACAATTTCTTACAAGTTTCATACGAGAGAGCAAAGAAGAAGCATGGCAAAATTCTCAACACCGTCTGGGAGATACCGGGAGCAAGGTAATGAAATTTTTACCAAATTACAAGAGCAAAAACATGCTGCACCTGTGGTGCTTCAGGGGCGTTTTACTGATGCTCTTAAATACTATAATCAAGCTTTAAATACTAGTGTCAATGATGATGAACGAGCATCAGCTTATAAAAATCTCGGGGTTCTATTTGCTTATCAAATTACAAGTTCTGATATTCAATCAGTCAATAGAAAAGAACTTGATTACAATTTGAAAGAGTGTATAACATCTTATGGCTCTGCTTTTCGATTTGGTAAACATAAAATGCTTTCTCCATTGTAATATATGCTGATTATATTGTTTTTCTAGGAAGGACAACGAAATCAGAAGAATGGTTAACTTCAATTAATCGTCAAATTAATGATTTCGTTTACGACTGTTGTGCTAGCTTTCTTATGTTACCAACAGAAGAACGGTTGCGTGTTTTTCATTTTATTGCTAATTGCTTTGAACGTACAGATCTGAAAAAACTCGACTCAGTAGCTACGGTTTATTACTCACTTGGTCAGTTGACATTTGAAAAAGCGGTAAAATATTTTAAAGATGAGCCAAGACTTATTTATGACTGTCAACCTTATCTTGATCGCGCTTTATATTGGGCTTGTGAACCAGATTCATTTCGATCAACGGACCTCGAGGAACTTCGCTCGAGTATTTTGTTGCATCAGTGTGTGCATGAAAGTGCTAATGCTCGACGTATTGGTGTTCGTATACTTAAAGAGCATTTAGAAAATGATGAGCATCTTAATATGGATGTCATATGGACTATTATTGACAAATTTCGAGAAGCAATTTTATTGGCCAAAGAACATGATATTGAGGGTAAGTTAACTGGAATCGTGCGATTTTTCCTGAATTACATTTCAACAATTTATTTTTAGAAACATACTTAACATTGTTTCTATTTTAGGAGAAGCACGAGCATGTCATCATACTGCTGTAGTATATGAAAAAGTATTGAAAATGACTGATACAGCTTATAATTATCACCTGCGTTGTATAACACTAGCTCAAACTTTAGTGCCACGCAATTTAACTACTCACGACTGGTATGTGATAAGTAGTTCATTTGTTGAAGAATATCGCGCAAAGAAAGTATATGAAGAAGAAGCAGTAAATGAAGAACTTAAGAAGAAATTTCGCATTGAATTAGCATTGGAGCTGAAAGAACTCGATAAGAAAGCCGAAAAAGGTATATGCGAATTTCTTGAACACATCTATAACAAATATCCACCGCGGAAAGCAGGTGCAACGACGGGTTCAACTGACAGTAATGAATTGAGTAAAACTGTTAAAAAAGCTATATTACATTATCATCCAGATTCACAATCAACTTTCAATGATGCAAAATGGACATTTCTCTGTACTGAAATAACAAAGATACTTAACATCAAATACGGACTACTTGATTAACAAACATATAAAACTTCAACTTACACTCATTGGTAATGAATGAGCAGAAAATAAAATAACAACATCATTACGAACATTGTCAGGAAACTTGTTCAGTTCGTTACGAATATTTTCAACAAATGCCTATAAAATTGATTTTATTTTTGTTTAATCTGACAATTTTTTATTTTACTTGAATAAAACCAGAATGTGTTTGCCATCGATCAATAACACTCCATTTAAGATCATTGAATGTTTGACTATTTATAGATTCATTAGTATTGAAGATTTTATTATCTTTCTCTAATTTTATTTTTTTCTTTTTTGCTGCATAATATCGAGCAATTGCATTTAAACTACTACCTGTTGTTGAACAACTATACTGTGGGTATTGTGTAAAAGCAATAATTCGTTGAGGACGATCTCTACAAAATTTTTATTTAATATTTTCATCTTAAACAACGAAAATGAAACAATCACTTTTCGATTTCATCAAGTGCCATTTCAGTTAATGGTTTAACATAACGAAAACCAATATAATATTTATGAGGAGCTTAAGAATAATAAATATATTTTTGTGAAATATTTTTCTCTGAAGTCAATATACCTGTCGATGGACATATTTGATCAAGTAGTTTAACCATTCCTTGACCTTGTTTTTCTGTCCACATTTTAATTGGTGATCCACCACCAATTTTTGCATATTGTTCTTGTATACTTGGAGTACGACGACGAGCAATCAAAGGACCTAATGTTCTGAAAAAAAGTTTTTTTTTTTTGACAAAAATAAACAAAACCTAGATATATATATATCGTAGAAAAAAAACATACTGTTGGGCTGGTAAAGGGATAATATCTTTATCAGAAAACAGACGATTAAGAAAATCAAATACTACATCTGTTGTTTCTGGTCCACCCATATTGAGTAAAAGTATTCCTGTGTTCACTCGACGACTAGAAAATATTTGTTTGTATAATTTTGAAATTTATACGAATATAAAATCCTACCCTTGAGATTCACTACGTGTTTGATTATCTTGTTTAATTGTTGAGTTTGCTGATACGGTACTCGTTGTACGAATAGGAGCATTCAATAAACAAGAAGTTAATAATTCTAACAAAGAAAATTTTTCAAAATTCATTCATAATGATTTATTTCAATATACTTGATGAGAATTGTAGTTTTAAATATGATAATAACATTATTTCAGTTATAACAATGAATCTAAAAAAATATATATCTGAAAATATGCATATCAACAAAAAAAAACAATGAAAGTTTTATGTTAATAAACAAAATAATTTATATTAATAGAATATTCGACAAGGATAGATGAAGATGATCGAATAGATTACATTACAACAGTAACATCTTCATATTTGCTTTAGATTTTTTCTTCAGTAATACAACAATCAATATCTATAACACTTTATATTGAATCGAACTTTCCTTTTTTTAATGCTATCATGAGTCATCTTTTCTGATTTAAATTAACATGAAATATATCTGAACGTATTTTTATTTAATCTCTAGGATGTTTGAAAAGTCATCTCTCAAAAGAAAGAAAACTATAAGCAATTTGATCTTTGCGAAGAAGTCAACTGATAGTATCCATACAATATTGAAGTTACCAAAATCATCAAACTGGAGTCTAATAACTCTAATTTTTCAAAACAAAAGTGCCATGCAAATACATATCAAATAAGAGAACAATACATGAATGATGAAAAGTTCAGTATAATGAAAGAAAAAAAGTCAAGTAATTCAGCAGAAAATCCTGTATTGAGTTTTTTTTTGTCACTCAATAGTAGAGATTCTTTTATGCATTGTATCTAAAAGTTATAATTTTCACGAGATAAAAACTTATAAATCTTCTTTATTATCAGAAAAAAAAAGTCAATTGATGATTTTTCAAACATACTGCATATTGTTCGTGTTTTATACATAAATAAACCGATATAATAATTGATAAATATGTTATTTTCAACTATGTTCTAGATTATTCTTGAATATTGATATTAATTAATTAATCTTACTAATATTAGAGATAATTATTGGTTACAGACAATGAAAATTATCAATATGGAAACAAATCGATATAATAATAACTCAATTAGGAAAGCAAAATGTCACAGAGATTTGTTTATTCTCCTTTTCTTATAACAAAAAAACAAAAAAAAAAAACATGTTAAATATCCCTTATTAAATAGACGACAGGACCAGATTTTTCTAGACTCTAAACACTCAAAAACAAAACAAGAATAGTCGTTATAAAAAAAAATCAGCATAGTAATCAACATGAAGAAGAAGAATAATAAAATAACAACAATAATAATAATAATAGTAACGTTAATAATAAAGATTCACCTAAAGGGAATGAATAAAATGTCTTTTGTCTATTAATGTTTTATTTGTTTGGTTTATTCAGCTTTTTTCTTTGGTATATCGTCACGATGATAAAGTACAATAAAACTAAGAAGAAATGCACCGACCATCATTGAAAATGATGAAATATAATATGGATAAGCCGATGTAATAAAACGTTCATATTCTGTATGACGTAAAGGATGAACAGAGACCTATAATCAGAAGAAAAGTTTATAAATCCTACGATCTAATTCTATAAAAGTTTATTTTTTTTTTGTATTTAAACTATTCGAATTTATTTCGAGTACAAACGAAAGATTAATTGATGATAACTTAATTTCAATTAGATGCTAAATTTTTTCATCTTTTATATGATCGAAAGTCACGATTTTACTTGAAAATTATTCCTTGTTGAAGTTATTTTTTGAAATACGTCTCTAATAGAGAAATGTTTTCAACAAAGTGAGAAAATTTCTTTTCTATTGATGAACACTGTTGTTTCATCATTATTTTTTTTTTCAATGAATTAAAATCGAAAATTCTTCTTTTGGAGATCATAATTAAATAGAACCAAATGTTGACATATTTCTTTAAGTGAATGCCTTTCAGTACAAGTTACAAATCTTTTCTGAACTCTGTCTGTTTTATACAGTCTATAATGTAAGTTGGAAATTCGTTTTTTTTTTCGATCATAGGTTCGAATATATAATTTATATTTATTGAATAAAGACATACTTGTGTTGCTGTATATAAATGTGTATAACCAATACGATTATAATCAATAACAAATTTAAAGATACCATAAGTATCTGGAACACGAAATTGTGTTTCAAGTTGACCACCTAAATCAATCAAATAAATTTCGTTATTATCAATAGAGAAAAGTTCTTTTTTTATGCGTATTAAACCTTTATTATTTAATGTTGTACGAACAAATGGATCAATACGAACAAATTCTAATTGAACATCTGTTCCATTAAATGGCATCCATTTTCCATGAACAAATTCATCAAATTGTATACTAAATACCTAAAATTGTATATAAGTGAAATTATTTCTCTTGTTTTATTTTTTTTTTTTCTAAAATTATATTTTTTCATACAATATCATTTTTAACTGTATAAAATCTTGGTGTTGATTTATCATCTTTTAAATAATGACGAATATTTCTTGCACGTAAAACACCACGTTGTTTAAATAACCAATCCGATAATGCTATAGCTAAATCTTGATTACCTGTTTTATCATGTCTAAATAAAACGTGATTAGCTTTTAATTTAAATAAATAAATAAATAAACATTTTACTTCTTTCCATTATTTGATTGTACTGAACTTTGAAAAAATTCATTACTAAAAAAATCCAATGAACCAACAAAACCAACACGAGCATTATTACGAGCTTGAAGAACAGATATTAATAATGTTCGTTTACCAACTGTAGCTGGATACTAATTTAAAAAAATTGAATTAAATAATTGAAAATATTATTCTCTTTTTTTTCTTTTTTTACTTCAGATAATGTCTTTTCTTCAGGATTAGCTGTATATGATGTTGATGAAGCAGTTAAAACATCAAGTAATAATGGATTATCTGGATCCGATGACATTCTTTAATACAAAACAAAATGTTACAGTTAAAAACAAAATGAAAAAAAACTTAGAGCATACAAAAAGTAGTAATAGAAGTATTTTAGTTTCTTATTAAAAAAAAAAAACTTAAAGAAACTTTTTTCGAAACAAAAATATTCCCAAAGCATATTGGCGAACACACAGGTAGATTCTGTATATCTAGCTAAACATTAAATGGAATTAAATTATCTCTGCTACTACTTTGGTTATATCCTAAGTATATATTGAAATCTTACCCAGTTCCTCGGAAAAGGAATGGTAAACTATTTTTCTTTGATTGTCCAACAATTAATTCCGATGAAAGAAGATTATTTGGACTTGCAACAATTAATGTATGCTAAAAAAAGAAAAAATAAAGTTTATTTACATATATATTTTTTTTTTACTTGTCCATCATCATTAACATCAAAATTAATATGATCAATAACCGAACTTTTATCATCAGCAAATTCAATACCACATTCACCAGCAAATTCACGAATAACATCACCTAGAATTATTTAATTAATAATATATGTAAACAAAGAAAAAAATAATAATAATTAGACATAATTTACCAATTACATTACTGCCTGCAACAAGAACATTTCCACCAGCATCAACAAATTGTGTTAAAATTGCAGCATCCAAACGTCCACCAAATTCTAATAATAGAACCATTTCAACAACAACAAAAAAAAAAGAGAAGTATTCATTACCTTTTGTAGAAGGTGCAAAGATGATAATATGATCATAAAGATATTCACCATATTTAACAATTTGAATATTACTATCATCAGATGATTTAAATGTTATTTCAAATCCACGATCTATGAGTCAATTATTTAAAAATAAAAGAAAAAGGTATCATTATTAATTCTTCGACGCAAAGAAAAGAACAAAAGAAAGTCTTGATTTTGAATATAAGACAATCGTCAGATAAAGTATTACTTCCAATCACAGATATTTCAGAATGTGAACAGCTATGTAAAATGAAATTCATCATTTGATTGTCAATACATATATCACACAATGCGTTTTTCTATCAAATGATAACAATCTATCTAATTGATCAAGTACAGCAAAGTATGTGAATCCTGCGATATTAGAAGTACTTCAACAATTTCTGAAATTTTCCATTCTGATTATTTAATTTTGTTAATCAAGAAAAGTAACATAACTACTTATGATCGTGATCTTAGTGGAAAGCAAGATGACTGTTTTTTAATGAAAACAAAACTGACTTGTAAAATTTTCTCATGAATTTCTTTAAAAAAAAATTAATTCAGTAATCATCGTTTCCAACGATCACAATGACCGTCCTATGATGTACTTTCGCTTATCATAAATGAATAAAAAAACCAATCCCATGTGAAAAAGAAAACATCTTCATAATCCTCACCTTTTAATTGTTTAAAATAGAATGAATGTGATTCTCGTATACCCAAATTATCAAGTAATACTAATAAACGTTTTGATGAACCTTCTACATTTAATGTTGATGAACAAAAAGATACAAATAACAATAATCCAATAGAAAAAATGAATAAACGAGCCATAGCTAGAAATCTAGAAAAATGATAGGTATGTAGTCAAATATAAAATGTGAATCGTCGACAAAAAATCCATATTTTATCCAAATACGACACCACATTCGTCTCAACATGCAATTGTTCTATTTTATTTTCCAACCATTATTAACTTAAGATGTCACCCTTTGTTTCTTATGTTTGATCATAATATTTTTCTTTTTTAATGATAAGACAAGAGAAAAAAAAAGAACATATAGACGGAGAAGAGAAAAAAAAAAGAAATGTTTTATAAGCCTTGGCTAAGATATGAATATGTGTTGTTTTGTAACGATTTTCTTTTTTAAAGATCGAAAACTTTTGGTAAATCATTTCCAAGAACATCAATACGTTCAACACCATCTTTATTAATTATAGCTAAACGAGCACAACCACCACTTGAACCATCACGTGTTATAGCCAATGTTATACCTAAAAAGAAATATAAATAAAAGTTTTTTTTTTCTTTGGTCCGATCAATTAACCTTTTAATACAAAATCATAACATTCTTGTTGTGTCATATTTGGTCGATAATTATTATCGAGATAACCCCAAATATATGTACTACCCGAACCACCGAGTGTAACTGGTTGTCGAACAAGTAAACCACCAAGTGGACAAGAATAAACCTATAAAAAAAATTGAGAGAATTAAGTTTAAGTACGTTTTTTTTATTTCTATATTATATTTACTTGTCCACCGAGTTTTTTATCCCATCCAGCAACAATCATACCAGCAACAAAATCATCACGATATTGATAAATTAAACGACGAACACAATTAGCAGCAATGCGTACAAGTGGTGGTTCATTCATTTCGGCTCTGAAATGAAATAAACATTTTTAGGAATTTCTTTTCTAAGAGAATGAAAATTCATCATGATGAAAAATCTGAATTTTTAGATAAGCGTTGCGGGTTTATATATCGAAATCTAAACTTTCATAATTAAAAGAACTTCACCGTCAATGGATCTGTCTTTTTTTATGCTTTTTCATCTTCCACTAAAAAAAATCATTTGTTTTATGTGATTTCAATGGATGTTGTGAAGTACATATTGATCAACACGTAGATTTTTCAATCAATATGATTGCTGATCAATATATTATATGCGTTTTTAACCTTAATTTGATGAATATCTTTCCAAAAACAATATGACATACAGATGAAAATTTCATTGGATATAAATATAGATAAATCAAAATCAATTTTTCTGAGAAAACGATATTAAATTTGTCAAATGTGTTAGAAACATTATTTTAAAGGACATTCTAAAAGTTATATCATTGAATTTTTAATTTTATCTTCAAACTTACGAAAGAAAATCAAGTTGATATGTAACCACTTGAGCAATAGCTTGTGTATCTGCAGCACTACCAGATCGAAGACAAAATATTCGATCAGTTAATGGTGTTAATTTGTCTGTAAATCGATTCATAACAAACGATCTATTCGAAAAAAAGAACAAAATCCTTATCCTTTCCGAAAAAAAAATTTTTTTCTTTCCTCTTTTTTTTCATACCCTGATGAAGTACGTGTATCGGCACCAATAATTACTCCTCCATCATATTCAACAGCAACAATTGTTGTCTAAAATTATTTTATTTATTTCAATTAAATTTACTAAAACAAAAGAAAAGAAAAAGTCAAATTCTCTTACACCAGTTGATACTGGTTGTTGTTGAAATTCTGTTGGTATAAGAAGTTTATCCATTTGACTATATTTTGTTCGTTCACGTAATTGATCTTCTTCAGCATCATAAGTCTTTGGATTAAGTACGTCCATGATATAATTTAAATCTAGAATGAGTACTTTTATTTGTACAAGACAATCTTTTAAATAAAACAAAAAAAACAAAAAAAGTTTTTATTTGTTTATTTTGCATTTTTTTCTTAGGGAGGTTTATAAAGAAATAACAAAAACAAAAAAAAAAGATTATTTAATTATATGTCATATAACGTGGCGTTGAACTGAATTTAGCATAGGCTTTGATAACCTTATTAACAGCTTCAATAAAATCTTTTTCAGTTGCTATTTTTCGTCGTGCACGAATAGCAAACATTCCAGCTTCTGTACAAACACTACGTAATTCGGCACCGGTACTATTTGGACATAATCGAGCTAATAATTCATAACGTATATCTTTTTCTACACTCATTGATTTTGTATGAATTTTAAATATATGTGTTCGACCCTAAATAAATACAATAAAAAAAAAAAAAAAATTTATGAATTTTCTATTTGAATAATTCAATTTACTTCTAAATCTGGTAGATTAAATTCAACTTTTCGATCAAGTCGACCAGGACGAACAAGTGCTGGATCGAGTGTATCAGGTCGATTAGTTGCCATAAGTACTTTAATATTTCCTCGTGGATCAAAACCATCTAATTGATTAATTAATTCAAGCATTGTACGTTGTACTTCATTATCACCACCAGCACCATCATCAAAACGTGCTCCACCAATAGCATCAACTTCATCAAAAAATATTATACAAGCTTTTTTACCACGTGCCATTTCAAATAATTCACGAACCATACGTGCTCCCTATTTAAAAAAAAGAAACATATAGATATTTTAATTGAAATCTATATGTATGAAAATTTAAATCAAACCTCGCCAACATATTTTTGAACAAGTTCAGAACCAATAACACGAATAAAACAAGCATCCGTTCTACAAGAAAGATATATTTATCAATATATAATTAACGAATTATTAAAAAAGTAACTTAAGAAAATGTTCAGTATTTTAAGGAGTCTGGTGAAAATATGATAACATTGAGTCAGAATTAGTTTCTCCAAGTTAGAACACATCACAAATTATCCAACGTTGAAATATTTCTCTATAAAATGGTATATTCATGAATGGTTTACTCCAAATCATTTGTCAAAAGTCAACATTTTGCTAAGACTCAGTTTCAATTTCTATGGAAAATAGACTTCAAAAATAAGCTCGGTCAATCCTAGATAATTATTCTGAAACTCGTGATTTTTATATCACTTTAAAAAGAATAATCCTGCCTTGAATTCTATATAGAAATCTTCAATATTCTTTATCTAGACTTTTCGCATCTCTCAAAAGATTGACTCATACAGTCTAGAAAAAATGTTCAATCTATATTTCGAAAAAGTACAAAACTTTGACTCAAACTCAATGTTTTCAAATTTTTACAGGGTCAAAAAAAAAACGAACGAATATTTTGTTAAATAACTTTTCCATAATTGGTTACATATATATCATTATGATTTATAAATTTTCTTAGCATTTATTTTAGTTTCTTTTACCTATTAGCAACAGCTCTTGCACATAATGTTTTTCCTGTACCCGGTGGTCCATATAAAAGGACGCCTTTTGGTGGTTCAATACCCAAATTAACAAATTTTTCTGGCTAAATAAAAATTATTAAATCTTTTATTATTTTTTTGTTATTATTGTCTTACATGTAAAAGTGGAAGTTCAACAACTTCACGAAGTTTTTCAATTTGTTCTTTACATCCACCAACATCACTATATGTAACATCAGGTTTTTCTTCTACTTGCATCATTGTAACTGATGGATCAATTTTTGGTGGTAATGGTAAATGTATTTGATATTTATTTCGATCAACTCTAAATGAAATTTTCATTAATAAATAAACATATGAAAATTTCAATTTGAATTTTATTTTCATTTACCCAACACGCATTCCTTCGTCAATATCTGTTGGTGAAACAGTATCAGCAAGATCGACAACAAATTTTGCAAATTGTTTTACATTAATTATATATTTTGCATCATCACTTCCTTCATTGATTATTTTTGTACAACGTGCTACTTGTAATGGTTGTTCACCTAAAAAGAAGAAGAAAACAACTATTACAGATTTAAAAAGAAAATAGTTTTTACTTTGAAGTGCTTGTTTATCAGCAGCTAAATCCCATAGTGCAGGTGGTGCAAGACCAGTATCTGATTCTTTAATACCAGATAATTCATTTACTCGTTTTAGTATAGTTTGTACATCTTCTTCTGTTTCTTTTATAGCTTTATCATATGGGCCAGCTCCCTAGAAGAATTTATTTCAATATTTTATTATTAATGATATTATTAACTTACATAAGACTTTAGAAGTGCAATTTCTGCTTCATCAAGTGCTAAAATAATGACATAATCGTATATTTTTTAAAATATAGATCACAAAAACAAAAACACATTATGATTTACCTTTGATAGGTTTATCATCATCTTTATCATCTTTTTGTTTAGTTTTTCGTTGATCTTCACCTAGATAATCTGGCATTTGATTATTTTCTTTTTAAAGTCTGCAAATAACTGAAAGAAATGAAGAAATGAATGAACGAACGAAAATGAAATTGACTGTGTACTAATGAATCATTGAAAGAAAAAAAAATCTTTTCTTTTTTTATTTTCTTTGTAAATTATATTTGAAATATTTTTATTTATTTATTTTTCTTTTCCAAGAAAATATAACTTTTTTTTTTTTTTTTTTGATAACACAAAAAGAAAAATATTTATGAGTGACATCTCTAGAAGTTGCGTTACTATGGAAATAAGAATTGCAAATGGTAATAGTTATATTAAAAAGTTATTTTTCTACTTATCAATTAGAAAAAAGAAAAATGGCATCTCGAGCTGAAAAAATAGATCGATTTCCAAATAAAATTATTATTAATATTTCAGAAATACAAAATCTTGTATGTATTTAATTAGAATGAAGAATATAATTTAATTGATTATTTATTTATGTAATAGAAAAGTCCAAGAGCTGAACCATTAACTATATTTCTTCGCTTTGAATATAATGATGGACAATTTTCTGAATCAGGAAAATTTGATCTTACTGATGGAAGTCCACGACAAGTGGATCATAATGCTGTATTAGCTGTGAATGCTTCAGATCCAGTACAAATTGATGATTTAGGACAAAAACCTGTTTTAAGTAAAATTAAACAGAATAAAAAAAAGAGATCTTATTCACAATCATATGA